ATTTGCAAAATATCAATCAATTATCTCAGACTTCATTGTTATTTCGTTTCCATACCAAACATTCTCTATTCTTGTTCTCTTCTCTTCTATCTTCTTAACTTTCTGCTTCCAGGCATCTCACCTTTGATTGATGATACATACTACTTATATCCATCGATATCAGTAGCACACACTACAGAGGGAATATTTGATCAACAAAGTATGGTATTTAGATTTCAGCCTTTTTCTGTGATAGTAAAACATCTTTGAACTCTCAATACACACACTAGCTAATCGGGATCAGGACAGCAACACTAGACTTTTGGTGGGGATTTTAGAAAGTAATTCCATATAGCATTACCCTTATGGAGAGCTCCCAAGATCGTATGCATATTTGAGATAAAATCATCGGGGATGAAAAGCTATGAAAGAAACACTATGTGGGAAGCTTACTTCCACTGACGCAGGTACTAGCCAAGATATAATTTAATAATAACTAATCTCCTCATAACTTTCTTAACCTGAACTTTAAACCATGTCATTACAGATACACCAAATAATGGCAAGTGACTCGTAGAGTACAAGTGCTTGAAAATACTAAAATTCTCATTAATTTGGTTCTCAGCTCGTCTCATAACGTCAGTCTGTCGACTATTCCAGTAGTTTTCACGCAAATTTCGTGACAACTATGAGCGTGAGTGCATTTATAATCTGATAAAGAACCCAATACAAATTGAACGTTTTGAATGAACCAGTCTTTGTAAAAAAAATAGTCTGCTTTTAGATAAAAAAAAGATTAAAGAGCTTAAATAAACTGATAAATCTATAGTTTTCATATCGTGGCTACTTTACTTATTGGGAATAAACAACTTAATTTACTAACTTTAATAACAGTGGAAATAAAATGCAATTGGTTCTAAACTGTCTTTTTAACGTCATTTCAGTCAGTCAGTCGCAACGTAGAACTTCGTATGTATGTACACCAGTTCGAGTTGCCATACCACATCAGCATAGAGATGAAGTTGTCGTTTCAAATCCCATAGTGGTAAAAGTAGTAAAAGTATAAGAGTTATATGAAAGATTGGGGTTTGAAGATTATATTGAAGCAGTATAATACAGTGATTTAAATTTGGAAAGAGAAAAAGGATAGGGACATGAGGAATTCAAAATATTAGAATTTGGCAGAACACAAAGAGGAGTTGCGCTTTCGCTAAGACAAACGACTTTGAGTCATGTCATTCAAGGCCTCTAACCATCGGTTGCTATCATCTGGCGGATCCCAACCAGGTAGTCTACACCTACCAACATGGCTCTCTCCACTTGTCAGTGACTTCATGGATTTGTGCCGCGTTTTGCTCTGACCACCCCTAGCTTTCTTCCAACCTACTCCTACACCATGAAACATTACACGTCGGGGCAGTCGGTGGTTGGGCATACGTAACACGTGTCCCAGCTATCTCAACTGATGAAGTTTCACTACTTCATCAATCGATTCGCCATCCTTACCTAGTACCCGTTTCCTAACAACTGCATTACTTACCCGGTGGTCCCAGGATATACGTGCAATGCTTCGAAGACACCTATGATCGAATACTAGTAGTCTACGAATATCCTCTACTCTTATCGGCCATGTTTCACTGCCATAAAGTAGGACGGAATGAACTACTGCGCAGTAAACTCGTCCTTTGGTTAGTAGACGGATATCTCGCCTACGCCATAAATGACGCGAGTTGGTGAAAGCTAGACGAGCCTTCTGTATCCATCCTGAGATTTCGTCACGCACAAGACCACAAAGGCTGATCAGACTCCCAAGATAAGTGAAGCGGTCAACACACTCAATTACTTCACTCCCTTTCATTAGTTTAGGTGCTGATGCAACCCAGTTTTGAAGTAGCATTCTGCACTTCGAGGGAGAGAATCGCATCCCAAACACGCCTGCATAGTTGTTTATAGTGGTCAGAAGACTCTGCATTTTGTTAGCGTCTTCACCAAATAGAACTATGTCATCGGCGTATTCTAAGTCAACAAGTGAATCCCATGGTAGAAGTTCAACCCCTCTGAATCGGGATGATGAAAGTGTTATCTCTAAAAGCATGTCAACGACAAAGTTAAACAAGAATGGCGAGAGTGGAAATCCCTGGAGAACACCACTTGAGGCAACCAATTCTGATGATAGTTGGCCATGGGCTCTAACTCGACCAGTTGTGTTCCAGTAGAGAGCCTTTATAGGATTAATGTACTTCTTTGGTACTCCTTTCAGTGACAAACACTGCCACAGAACCTCATGATCAACGGAGTCGAATGGCGCCTTAATGTCGAGAAATACTACGATTGTGGGACGTCTGAATGTGTGTCTATGTTCTAGGACCTGACGTAGAGTGAATATCTAGTCTATGCAACCACGTCCAGGTCGAAAACCAGCCTGGTTTTCTCTAGTCTGCTCTTCACGAGCTTTGGTTAGGCGTCCAAGTATTATTGAAGCTAATATTTTAGACACTATATTAGTCAAACTGATCCCTCTGTGATTGTCACAGGAGGACTTTTGTCCTTTCTTATAAACTGGCAGAATCAGTGATTGGGACCAGTCGGATGGAATTACATCCAGTTCCCAGATTCTACCTAAGACAGTCAATCTCGCTGCTAGTACTGGACCGTCATCCTTAAAAATCTCAGGAGTGAACCTGTCGGGGCCTGCTGCTCTCCCTCGCTTCAGATTTCCTATAGCTTTTTCAACCTCGTAGAGAGTTGGAGGACTTACCTTAATTTGCCATTCAGGACGACTGGGGATCGTGGGTAACTGAAGTGTGGCTGAAGGCCAGTTGAACTGATCCCTAAAGTGTTCTGCCCATCGATCCAATCTCCTGGATTGAGAATGAATGAAATGCCCATCTTTGTCTGATATAGTTACATTGATATTTGGGTTCCTAATACAGGTTTCTTTAACAAGTCTGAATAGCTGTCTGCTGTTACCTATTGCCGCTGCCTTTTCCATCTCTCTTGCTTTCGCTACCCACCACTGTTCACGATCATTGTGTAGGCTTCTTATTAGCCTGCGCTTAAGCTGACTCCGCTCCTCGTTATGTTCAGAGCCAGGTGGGATGAGTTTTCGAGCATCCATCAGTGCGATAGATGCTGCCGAGATCCATTGTTTCTTCCTAACCTTATGGTTTACCTTACTAGCGGATATCACTGCTGTTTCCACAGCTTCTCGGATGTCATTCCACGTTGCCTCGGGGTGGGCACAACTTACATGTCTGTCTAACTGTTTTTCCAGTTGTTCCCGAGATATATTCTTAGCTTGCCTATCATTAAGTAGAACCCTTAGAGGCTCACCTGCAGTGCCTTTCCTACGTCCAGTAAGACGCAGACAGGTACGTGCTCGCACTAGAGCATGATCTGAATCTAAACATGTGCTCCAGAATGAGCGACAGTCTTCTATCGAGCCCCTCCATCGGTGGCTGATAGCGATGTGATCTAATTGGTTCCAACGTTGGGACGAATTCGGGGGTCGCCATGTCAAAAGATGTTTTTCCTTATGCTTAAAATTAGTATTTGCAAGAATTAGGCGGTTATCTGAGCACAGCTGCAACAGACGGTCTCCATTATCTGTTCTTTTAGCCACACCACCATAAGATCCACCCAGGTGTCTTTCCCTTTCTCTTAGTTTACCTACTTGAGCATTAGAGTCACCGGCCACTATTACTACATCAGAACGCCTAGCTTTTCGGAGAAGGTCGGAAAGTTTCTTGTAGAACCCATCTTTTATATCGTCTGAGCTGCAGACAGTGAGAGAGTAGACAGAGACGACGAAGAGGCAACGACGAGTGTCCCTATCTTTCTGAGTCCTTACTGATCCGTTTAGTCTGATAGCGCATAGACGACTGTCAACTGGGATCCAGTCTAAAACAGTTAATTCTGCCCTAGGACTTAATGCTATACCTAGTCCAACGAGGCCACGGGGAGCAGCATCGGGGCTTCCAGATACACGAAGCGTGTATCGAGATGGTTCTTTATTTTGAAAAGGTGAGGTTAAATGAATGACGCTACTCTGGTCTTGTATGCGCGTTTCGGAGACGCAGCACACATCGATGGTGTACGATTCTAAAGTCCTAGATAAGGAGGCCCGTTGTTCTATTTGCCACAATGTTCAGACGTTAAAAGTTCCTACATGTAGTTTAGAGCGTGGTTTCAGGAGACCAGGAATAACGTTCGACGTACTCGAATCGCTCGCCCTAACGGTGCGAGGTGATAAAAGGACATGAGGAGGGTTGGCCGTGGAGATAAGAGAGCTGATAGGTGTAGGAAGATCTTGTAGTGACCAACTTGGTCTCGAGTGCAGTTACGGGTATGAGGGCTAATGTCACTTCCCGGCTGCCCACACCGTGAAAGGGTATTTCTTGAGGGACCTGAAAAAGAAGTTGGATTAGTGTTGGTCTTAACGACCTGGGAGCGTGACCGCAGTGTTCAAGGGACAACTGCCTGAACACGGGGTATTTTCGACGTGTTAGCTCCGTTCTTCAAAGGACCTTACCGCCGGAGACGGAAATCCGTGGGTTAAGGCGAAGTGTGCATTTTTAGGGTTGACCTTTTCTAACCCCACCACTCCTTGTGGGAAAGCAGCATCGCTGATATGCTGGTTGTCTGAAGGTAACACCTTACACATCTGTGCAGTCAGCAGTTCAACTTCACCTTCGGTTTGCTGCTTTTAGTCTTACCGCTCTTCACCCGCCCTGTCTGGCATGGTAGGACCTTGAGGAACGATTGTTCCAGCCAGTATAGCTCGATTGGTTCATCACGATAGGCAAGCCCAACCACCACGTCAAGGTAGCATCAACGTCATTTAATTAGTTACGTTCTACATAATCTCAATTCTTGAAATCTACTTTATCAAGTAAAAGCAGAAAACTACTGTTTTACGTAATTAAGGCGATTGATGATAAGCGCTTAACTTCAATGATAACTGATTCGACTGTGAGACCGTAAAAAGGCTAAAAAACCCGTTGAAAACCAAAAACCAGCTCGTGATAAAATAAATTTACTTTAGAACTACAAACAACCACAAATAAAGTTGAAAAATGAATCTAACAACGTAATAAAATGAATATTTAACTATACAGCCGAATCCATAGCAACATTTGATCGCAAATGTGTGGTAGAACCTAAACGTTCTGTTTGTCTTGTCATTGTGTCTTCATATCTTGGTTCTGATCTTATATTTGGATTATACAATGATTGTGTTGAAGTGGGACCATGAGCATTCTCTGCATTTTGAAATAATTCACTTTCTGCAGCCCGTAAATTCGCTTCTAAAACAGCAATTCGTTGAGCCTCTAGTGATTCTCTAAGTTTAGCCGATACTGTAGCTCCCGATGTTCCAGCTACAGTACCTCCTACGGCACCTGGAGCGATTGTACCACGACTTAAAATACTTGACTTTCCAGGTGCCATTAATGTACTAGTGGGACCAATTTGTGATCCAGGTTGATAGCTAACAAATGTAGAAGGTATTGTTGTAAAAAGTGAAGGGACTGTTCCGGCACCTCCAATTTTTGACTCAGTAGCTGCTGCTTTACCATCATAATACGAAATATTCCTTTGTGACGTATAATACGGATTAGTTCCTAGAAATTTTTGTCTTAATAATGGGTCTTGCATGAAACGTTTGCTTTCTACTGACAAATAATGTGTCACTAATCCAAAAATACAAAATATTGTGAAAAATCCAGCTAGTACTGCGAATGCAAAACTCCAGGATAGCATATTTAAATCGGGTCTTGGTAGCCATTCGCGATCTTTACTCATAACTCCCATGAGTATTATAACGACAACAAAACAAGCAACTAGTTGAGAATTCAAAAGGAAAAAAAGACACTTTGACATAAGTCAATCAACATGTCTACAGAAAATATATAAATGGAGTCAACTGGAACTTAGGCAAAAGCCCTTATGTTCTGAATTAAAATTATTTAAAAAGTTGATTTTTTCTCTACGTTGGAAACCATTCTAATAGGTCAGAATATCCATCATTCAGTTAGTTGGTTAATCATGTATAATATAGAACTTAAGACAAATATATATTGTTTCAAATTACCATATCTTACAGTAACACAGTGAAAACATTTAACTAGGTAAAAAGCATAAGGAGAAAGAAGTGAAGTCAAATACAATAAGAAACTAAATTTGACAAATTCGGATCTGAAAAAAGCAATAAGACCGGTGAATACGAAGTTGATAGTGATATTAAACTGAAGATTTAGAAGGCAATACAGAGAAAATTAAACTGGTTCGAACATTAACTACGGTTATCACGCGTACTTAAACATAAACGTCTGTATCAGTTGATGTATTTCAGTTGAACAGCCAATAACCTTATAACCTAGTACCATATCTTCTTTACGTCACTCAAAACTTCTGAATCACATCTACACGTCGTAGTATGTGAAGGGTTAGGCAAGCGTAGTACATTTCTCAATCACTGAAGTCGATAATTATTATTGACCTCATCAATCAATTTCGGATTTAAACCAAAAGGTTTGTTCACCAAATGATTTCTTCCGTGAGCAATCCCCTGATACCGTTTAAAACAGGAAGCGTTCCAAATAAATTGTTTGAAAATTAGTTAGTATGCGATATATACAATATTTATTATAACAAGAATGGTGGCCGATCAATTGAATAGAATTTTAGAACAAGTTCATGTATATATAAAAGTACTTTTGAATTATCAGTATCGTTTTAAGTGATATAACATCAGTTGCCCCCTACAGTATGAAAGTCAATACAGCATTACCATTAGAGTGCATCACTTTAGGTTATTACATCTCATTTCAACAAATTTATAACAAATCAACAAGACAATCAGGATAAGATGAGAGATAACATCGAAAGCAATGGAAATCTTAGCATGAAATATACGGTTCTGAAGAGACAAATATAATCCAAGATTAAAAATCAGCAATGGTATTAAACAAGATTTGAGACTACTACTGCTCCACAATGGTCTATTTTGCCCCATATCATGGAGCATCCACAACCACTGATTGGAGTACTGCAACAGACCCATTCAAGATGTTTGCACCCGCCAACATTGGTCAGAATGACAACCATTGACCTCACGAATTGAAGCCATGCCTTAATATGCTCCCTCGTAGGTTTTTTCAACTCAAATTTATGTTACCTAATATTGTATCTCAGAATATGAAACGATCCTAACTGGATCCAGCAATAGACATTTATATGTACATGTAAACTATTTTATTTATTTGATGTATTTTTGTTTATGACTGTATCACTTCAGTTAGATTGAGCGACTGTATACTTTGAAAATGAATTTTATCACAAATTGACAAAACCAGGAGAAATATTGGAAACCACACAACACTGGACAACTCTTTTGTTTTCATTTCAGACAATTTAGGAATGCTCATCCCCATTCTTCCATCTAGGTACTTAATGACTACTGGCTTACTCATGACTACCTCTAAGATGGCTTTCTCAAAATATGAAATAAGTTCAGATTTTTCCTGGACACCAATGAGACACCTGGTTTACCAGGATGAAAAATGGGACGGTACTCTTTCGCTTACAGTTGACATTGACTCTATTAAATACTTATCCAGTGGCTAATTTACCACAGGTCAACTCAATTCACACCAAGAGTATGTTATCAGCCTGAACAGCATGTATATTATTATGCAAAATGCGGGTGATATGGAAAATATCTATTACAAGTCCGGATAGCTAACCATCTGTTTGGAAAGTTGGTCAAACACCGTTATGTTTTACTAAACAACGAAATTCTAGTGAGAGATTTGTAATGAGTGAATGCAATCAAGCCAGAAGCGAGACAGCAACTCACCGGTGACATTGAGTGACGACCACTTTACACAACAGCTTGACAAGAGTTGAGGATCTAGACTAATTGATTATAGAAGGGTGGTCTGCAGATAATGTGGTCAATGACCCCTCAGCTTATGTCAGTTCGCGACACAGCGGATCTCAAAATATGATTGTCGAAACTAAAATGTAGGCTAGTGTTACTCAGATCTGCGATCCAATAAATATTTTTTCAATACAGTCGGTGTGTAATAAAGTGGAGAATTATAAGCTTATATGATATAATGTAATTGCAAAAATACTTACGAGCAACAGATTGTAATCCCATTACAACAAAATGTGGCTTTTTTTCTTTAGTTCCATAAACTTCACATAAGACAAGAATTATCATTAACAATCCAGCTAAATTGCATATTAAACTTATGATTGATAATATCTGAACAAGATAGAACCATGCTAAAATAAAATAAAATGTATTAGTTCAATGATATCGGCTAAACAATTGATTGCATAACTTTCCATGCTGGATCTAAGGTCTTTTGTAAGGAATTATGTAAAATAATTAAATAACCAAAAGCTGGCATTATTTTGTGACTTTACTTAACAATAATATTCAATTCAACATTGCTTAGCATATAAAGAATGCTTATAAATTACTTTTACAAGGGGCTCGTTACAAATTGCATAGTTTAATGCTAAAGTACCCAACTCCGAAACGAATTGACGTACGCTATGGCCTCAGAGACTGAATGCATTAGAATAAAGATAACCTGTGCAAAAATGAGTATCGACAACCGATTGTACTTTAAATTACGAGTGTCATTTAACATTTTAAACAACAAAAGCAAAGTGACACTCAGTTTCCTACAAACAATTAAAAACAAGTAATGTGAACCAAGTCTAATCTGATATTCTTTATCTCTCTGATTAGTTATTCGGTATAGCAACAGTATCACTAGGCCTTATTAACGAAAAGGGCAGGTAAGGCACACATATTTAGCAACAAATTTGATAATATTGTTTTTTATGTTGCCTCCAAATTCCCTGGTATGACCAAGGGTGAGGAGAGTTAACTCTCCTTCTCGAAATACTATCACATGGCCACGCGTATACAGCCACTGCGAAGAAAGTCCTACTCACTATCTTCTTGCAGTATTACTGTTGTTTACGAAATTCAGAGGACGAAAAGCGAATGTTCGGTGCTTTAACCGGGTTGGTGGATATGGAAAGTTCACCTGGAGGAGTTGGAAAACCCTGGTTCCAAACCAATGGTGCACATGCACTACAGGATCCTGGGGGAACAAATGGCGTATGAACCAATTGTCGGTGACCGGCTACCATGGGACTGCATCTGCTGAAGTTGTTCCACTGTCTTGTGGATCAGACCTTTAGGTCAAAGGCTCGGGTGTGCCCCCCTAAGGAAAACACCTGCCTCGGTTTAAGCATCCGTGCAGTATTACAGCCCATTCACCAATCAAGTGACTTGTGTGATGCATATATATTCGGTGCCCCTTTGTACCAATATTCATGTGTTCAGATAAATACATAAATAGTTTGTAAGTACAAATTTCATGAAGCAGGCTTACATAAGTCTAACCACTAAACAATAAGATAGCAAATTTTAAACATATCAACGTCATTTCTACTGAACATACGCCCAAACTCGGGGCCACTGAAAACTTAAGGAACATCGGTGGAATATAAATTAAAACATTGAATTTATCATACTCTAAAGTAAATTGAAACGACTAGTTTAGTAAAATTCTGGTTAAGCACTTTGAAAACAAGCGATTCAATTAGGCCTGTGAGATAATCACGGACGTGACTTTAACATTTTCAACTTAATTTTAGAGATGGTCAGGAAGCTTTAATATGTAAGTGAATTTTGTAAGGCTATCCATTGTTTAGACTTTGTCAAACATATACGTCAGTCATTATTTATTGCAAAATTTGCTTGGATTTTAATGTTACTTTGTCGATAATCTGTAGCTTTTTTACAGTTAAACATCCTAATCTAAATTAAATGTGTACCTTTTAAGCAAAAACGTGGGGTTGTTAGACTTTGAATTACTTTCCAGAAAACGGAATTCAAGGAATAAATAGTTTCAATATTATCCGGTTCAAAACATGCAAGCTATTTAGTTTTTTTATCAAAAGTTATGTAACACGCCATGCAATAGTTAAATAATAAACCATTTGAACTTTACGGTCAATATATATGTGAAAACACTTACGTGGATTTAACCAGAATCTGATATATTTGTATTCTGGATAATATATATACCAACATCCTTGATACGCTTTAGATACATAGTCTTCTGGGAAGATAAACTGCTCAAAGCAAACTTCCCACAAACCAAGCCTTTGAAAACCGAGATTTGACTCTGATTTTGAAACAATCCAGAAGGGTGAAACAAATCCAATAATATTGGAAATAGCAGCAAGAAAGGAAAAGGTAACAGCCATTGAAAATGATATATGTTTACGCCTGATGGTGCCCAGCTTCATTTTCCGGATTTCCCAGAGTTTTGAAAAGTTGCACTAGGACTACGCAACTGATGATATCCAAACAATGAAGCTAAACAAAGTTCTAAAATTAAACGACAGTTTTTGAAGATGCTGAATAGCGACGTATTCGTACACATATTCAGTTTCAATATGCTCTCTCTGAAGTGTTGAAAACTTCTAATACTTTTGAGTAACAGTATAAGTTATTTCAGATATGCTGGTAGCTCTTAGATTCGGTTTTCAGACTTCTGTAGTAAGGACAGAAGGCCAACAGCCTGTGTTTTTCTTTTTATACTGGGCTTCTGTGAATGTCTAGTTTTCTTTTTGAATGAGTCAATTGAAGGTGCGGTCATCACTGCTTCGAGTAACATGTCCCAAGAATAGATGACTCGGTGTATACCTCAGGTATTTCGTTTGTTCTTGGCTTTTCTACTCATCTGCCCTATCTTCTGAGTTGTCTCACTCTGATAGCATTCTAATAGAGCTGGATGGACTCTTTTTAATTACGGAAGATAACTCAACTCAGAACTATTTACATAAAGACTGTGAACTTCATACACTATGATAAAATTTGTGTTAAGTATTCATGTTATGTATGATCATATTTATATAATAATTCATATTTATACAATTACATATTCATCTTGGCTATCCGACAGAACTATACTCTATCATTTTCAAACCATATATAATCATATTTGACGAAGAATTGCATTCCATATTTTCATACTAATCCTTATATCGTGTTTGGATGCTACAACCCATATACTTTATGTATTTACATGATCTTTCCATACCCCTACCTTACATCAAAAAAATGTATGATCGTGTATGATAGAGCAACATACTCACGTTTTTATATATTATTCTGTAAATTGTATTTCGATACTGTAACTCATTAATTTCCGTAGTTATCTGTTCAATTCGATGAGTCTGTCATAGTTTTCGGTCAGTATTTTTATCCAAAAAGCTGTTTCATGTATTTGGTCGCAAAGCATCATGGTAATAATCTACTGGATTACTTATTTCTGCACCACCCAATTTTAACTATTGCAGGCTTTCGGTTTATACATGTACCACATACCGTATCCAATTTGATTGATGGGTACTAATTATTTACAGTTTTCAATTACTTTACTATGCAAGGCTATCTTCCCGTGTAATATAAGTGTCAAAATTTACAAAATGTTCACCTTTATGTTCTATTTTGCCTCCACACATATACTGACGTACATACCGAAATTCTACTACGATATTCATGCCATTCTCCCCTCTTGTTTTTGAAACCACTAATCCTCACGATATATTCACTCTTGTTTCGAACATAGATCTTGATTTTTAGACTGTCTTGAGCCCATAGCCTTCACCTTTTCACCCATTTCTATCTCCAACATTTTGTTCGATCCATCTGCTACTTATCACTTTATTATCATTCCACAAAAAGTAATTGAGGACCCATGTTTCTAGGCGTCCAGCAAAACGTAGGAAAACGATTCAATCTAATGCTACTACCGACAGTTTCAACAAGACGAGCTACTCCATTCATCTGGAAGCAGAATAACTTGTACCAATTATCTTTATTCCAGACATTTTGAAAACTCTGTAGATAAACATTGATGATATTCACAACTGCAATCATGTGAATGATATGAGAAAGTTGCAAGCTGACATGAAAATTCTCAATCCGCTTAAATATCTCATCAACCCCAACATCGCGGAGACTCCAGATCATATGAATGACATAAATAATTTTTTAGATCGTGTCACTTCAGAGGTACTTGAAAGAATAAGACGATTTAGCAATGCAATTGTGTTTAATATACCGGACACATGCCCCTCAAAAATATCAAGTCCAATCTGCTTAGAGCCAGAAATATGGCACATGTACCATATGTGTGCAGAAGATTAAAAAGTCATCATTGTACGCACTCACCGATCCTGTTCAAATTTAATTCGTCCGTAGACGCCAGTGAGTTTCTGACTTCCTCCAATTGTATGAAACAGAAACAGGTTTTTAGGAATATTGTGATTCTTCCAGATAGAACATCATGCCAGCGAAAAGCAGGAAGAGCTGGTTATAGACCACCAGCGTCAAACTCACAAACGCATCATAATCCTAATGGTCATAAAATTAAGTCCGGTTCTAAGAGGACATTTAACTTTAAAAATATGCCACCACTGATAAACTCTCCTGAATCTCTTAAAGTTCAAATCCTAGAAGAAAGTAACCCCGATGTTGATGGTGTCCATCCTCCTTAGAATGCTGACGAATCGGATAATACCGTCCGAATTCCTGTCACTGTGACACCCAGTTACAGTAACTGTGCAACGCATGATGAGGAAAATAATCATAACATTTATATAAATGACCATGCACTGAACGTTGATATATTCGAACCTTGCAAACCATCGCAAGTATGTTTAACAACACTCGATTCTTCCCAAATTACGAAGGAGTTAAAACAAATCACAAACCTCGGAAATAAATGTCTGAAACGTGTCACACATACGTCACATATAAAAGGTAGTCGGCATTGTAAATGACAACTTGATCGCACACATAGACCTGATAGCCTTATTGGTCTGGCTCCCAATACAAACACTATGTACCTATCATGTAGTAGATCATGTAGTACATGTCTGATAGACTTCCTTAACGAGGTTACTCGCATACGTGACCAGAAAAAGCTAGTGATTATACTTTATTTCGATATAAAGAAAGCCTTTGAAAAGGTACCCCATAATCTTCTAATCAACAGACTCCAGTCAGTTGGAAATATAAACCCCCTATTGCAATGGATTAAGTCTTTCCTCACAAACAGATACCAAATAACCAAGCTTAACTCTACAACATCTACACCTCGACCAATAACCAGTGGTGTTGTGCAGGGTAGTGTCTTGGGCCCATTGCTCTTTATAATTTATATCAACAATATATGCAAGTGCTTTACTACAGGTAAGACCTACCTTTACGCTGATGACTTAAAAGTCATCTATAAAACTGACATTGGTGATGTACGAAGTACTATGCAAACGATCCAACATGAACTCAGCAAAGTAGACGACTGGTGCAAACGCTGGGGGCTAGAGCTCAACACAGAGAAATGCGGTTGGCTATGTATTGGTAACACGTCACTTAAACTAAAACTAGCACTTAACAAAAACCCACTGCTCAGACTGACATCAGTAACTGACCTTGAGGTACATTAATACGACAGTCTTAACTTCTCTGAACATATTTCAACTAAAACATCTCAAACGCGGAGATTTCTTGGCTTCATCCTTCGTAATTTCTTTCAAAAGGAAACTAAAATCATCCTGTATAAAACCTGCGTAAGACCCATCGTCGAATACTGCTCGCTCTTATTTTCCAACCTACGCCTATCTGATATACTTAAGGTGGAAGGAATACAGCGAGACTTCACTCGCAAAATACCTAAGAATGACCAACTCACTGACTACAAATCCAGATGCCACATCTTAGGACTAGAACCCCTCTGCAAAAGAAGGCTTAGGTCTAACTTAATTCTTTATTTTAAACTCCTTAAAAACCTTACTTATTCCACATGTAATATAGCTCTCTACCAAGACTCACATGGATACAACCTTCGAGACAAAGTATCCACTGTCAAAATTGAAAAACACAGATCAAAAACACGTGAAAACTTCTTCCTTATCAAGTACGCATTGATATGGAACAGTCTGCCTTCTGAAGTACGCATGGCAGACAAATTACATACGTTTACAAGACTCATTAATCAACCCCTCACCAGCATAGATCTGGTGCAAACGAACACATCCACGTCCCACACAGACATCATAGGCTCTCTACATATATAGACTGAATCGCCTTATTTCCCTACCTTGTAGTTGTATTAGATACTTTCCCCTCACTAATTCTTTTCAATTGAAGTAGACAGGCAACTCACTGGATCTATCAATACTCGGTCGCTAAACGACGCCTATAAATACCCTAAAACACCAGAAGAAACGCACAATCGACTGACTACTGCCACCCATCAACCGGTTAGCATAGAACAAAACAAATTCAGCGCGAATTTAGTGTGATTTACTTCTCGTCTATTTATCAGTTTTTTACTCATCTGTACACTATGTTGCCTTGCCATCAATATTATTTCACCACTCGTTATCTTACCTTATCTGTAACTAATATAAATCTCCATTTTCCTGCCTACTATGGTAAAGAAATATTCTACACTATACCCTTCCTAATGCCTATACTCTGATTCGTAACCTACACTTTACTATATAGTCAATAAAAACATTGCATCGAAGCCTTACCCACAGTCCATAATTTGTAACTGTCTGATAAGCTTGTAACATGGTACTTATAGAAATAGTGTTTTCCAACAGGATGTGAAACATAGAGCATTGTGTGAGGTATGATATGTATCCAAAAAATAATCGTAAATGAGCCTAACATCACAAAAGGAGAGGGGGTGGATTTACTGACCAGCAAGCACTGATGGTGTGGGCGATGATTTCAATCCACCCGTGTTTGTGGGGCAGAACATTTTGTTTGTATCAGGCTCTTTATGGATGAGAACAAGTCAATAGATCTGTGATATTGAGATTGTTCACCTACACTCACCATTAAGACTCATGTTTCCAATTTTTGTGCTGGATTAACTATTCTACTAAGACAACCTTTAACATGCTAACTCGGACTTTTACATGAACACTGTGTGGCAGGCATCGGATGAGAAAAGAAAACAACTGACTGTAAAGGATATGGTTTCTATTTTACTTAACACTACTCTCTATATGCACTCTCTGTTCTTCCTCATTCCAACCTTGACTTCCCTCCTTCATTGGAACCTATTCCACCTTGATAATTATCACAACTCATCGTTCTTTATAACTGCATTCTCTCCTCTGGAGCCCCTAATCGCAGTTTACTCTTGCAACATGAGCTAGTATCAATTTAATCTAATAATTTGTCATACCTCTATCTGTTCCACTAATAAATGTTAAGCATTGATTATCGTTCATATCCAAATGCCTTGCTGCTCCTCGGTTTCTCTTATATTTTTTCTCTTCAGAATCTTGCTCTGAGGCTGAAGCTATGTAATTTCTGACACCTGGAACAAGCTCGAAGAACGCGCTTTCCCAAGGT